AGAGAAAAAGACACAGAGAGAGAGTATGAGTGGGGGAGGGAGGGAGAGAGAGAGAGAGAGAGAGAGAGAGAGAGAGAGAGAGAGGAATTCAGAGGCAAGTGTTCAACATGTTCTGATTCCAAAGTGGTGTGGCTATGAACTTCTAGTTGTCGTTTTTAAATTATTTAATTTAAAAACAGTTCTAGCTGTTGTTTTTAAATTATTTAATTAGGTATCAGAAAAATGCCATGCCATTCTAACTCTTCTCTGGGACTCTTCTGGACTCTCTACATGTGAGGCAGTCCCCTCAGCGTCAGTGTCATACGCAATGTCCTTAGAAGCTTTTTCTATTTTGTGGTTTCTCTGCATCCCCAGAGAACCCCAAATGTCATGAGTGGAAAGTTGTAAACTTAAGCCTCAGTCTTGAGTCTTTCTCAGGCCAGTACCTACCTTCCAGGCATCTTTTGCATTTGGCTAGAAAACTAAGTCATTTGGGGAAGTTTCTAAAGGATGAAAAGTGACAGGAAGATGACAGAACAGATGAGTGAATGAATAAAAAATTCAATTTCTCTACCAAGACAAAGGGATGCAGTTCATGAACTTTCATTGGAGTGCTTGGAGAAGAGAATCCACAGGGTTTGTGGGTTATAAAGAAGGGGGTAAATCCCGTAGCAGTGGGTACCATTCCATGATAGACCCTGCATAAGGCAAGAGATGGAAGGAAGGAGGAAAGGAGGAAAGAAGGGAAGGTGAGAGAAGAAAGAAGGAGGAGGAAGGATCTGAGGAGAGAAGGGGGAGAGGAGCATCGGAGGACATCCTGGGGACTGACGATTTCGGCCAGGGCTTCCAGCCCTGCCTGAGCCCATTTACATCCCCAGACATTCCTGAACCAACACGTTTTTCTGTTTACTTTGAAGCTTTAGGGATGGGGGTGGATATAAATCTTAATTTTATTTTGAAATACAGCAGCAGATGACTAGGTGCAAAGGAAGGTGAATGGTGTGTTGTGTTCCACACCAACTTGTATCCCACTGTAAAATTTAAGGGCTGGACCAGCAACAGTCTTACTTTGAAGTAGAAGCTGCTTTAAACAGGGTGGTCACCTGTGGCTTGACTGGAAGAAGAATGGTGGCAAAGGGGAAATTAGGGCAGGACTCAAGTGCAGACCAGAGGATGCTGGGTCTCTTCTGTGGGGCAGGATTTTGAATCCTGAGCTCTGGGTATTGTGAGCTTAATGCCAGTCTCATTCTCATTACAATATTGGAAAGCTCCTCTTCTGGTTACAGATTGGAAGAAGCTGAGTCATAGCATACCTACCCCCCAACTTCTGTTCAAAATATTCCTCCAGGCAGGAAAAAGTGCGTTTTAGCCAGCGCTGCGATTTTCCCCTTTGTTCTCGATACTGCCTCATTTCAGCGTGAGGAGGCCAAACAGCTCTCGCTTCATCCCATGAATTAATGATTCTTCAAATCAATTTAATCTAGAGCCTAATAAATTTTCCTAATGACAAATCAATGTCAAAAATAATGGAAGGAGGAGTGATTCAATGTGTTCGCCCCCCAGTCTCCACTTCCCCAAGCAGAGATGCATTATCTGAAGGGCAAATTCCACATTTGCTTTGGTCACTATTCATGACACTTTTTCCAACACAGACTGAATTCTCAAAGGCAGAGTACAAAGTTCTTCCGCCTTCTATAATCAGAATCTCGTGCCTACGATATTATCTTTTCTTATGCTTTTAAAACTATGAACACCCTGAGAACCAGGAAACTGAAGTCTTAGGAGTTTCTTGCTAAGGAAGAAAAACAGAATTGTAAGTATGTGTGTGTGTGTGTGTGTGTATGTGTGTGTGTATTACATGTTTCTGGGTAGAATTTTAAACAGTGCCATGAGGTTAAAAGGTGAATGGTAAAAAAAAAAAAAAGGTGAATGGTATAATATATTAATGCCACACAGTGTGTAATGGAGAAGATGTCCAGAAAATGAACAAGATGGCCTCATGGTTTGTCCCTGCTAACCTGAATTCTGTTGCTTGAGACAAATATGACACTATTAAACTAGTATTCTTTCCACCTCCAGATGCTTGGTCAATAGTCCCAAAGAATTAAGCAATACCTGACAAAAGCATATTGCATGCCCACATTTGAATCAAGTGTGTAGGCAAAGAGATAGCTTGCAACCTGTGAACCTTCAGGTAGAGCCACTTTAAGTACAATGGGAAGGAAAGACCTGTGCTGATCACGGCAGGGAGAGCCTACATTCAGAATAGGGTGGGAGGAAATGAGAAGAGGAAAAGTCTTTCTAGAATCTCAGATGCAAGGCTTGGCTAACAGGGCATGGCTGACGGCCTTGAGTATGAGCTAAGGATAAGACACAGATAGGCATGCTGAGTTCTGAAAGGGTGCTGGGCTGGTGAAGATATTGTTCTCTGCACGTATCTAAATTCTCTAGATCTCCTGTAAGTTGGGCAGAAAGACAGAGGAACAGACAAGACCAGACCAGATGATCTCAGGAGGATTTACCTGGAAAGGTCCTCTGAATCTCATTGGGCTAGAATCATCCTTTCTCTCTCAGGGTCATCAGACACACCTCATGTGTCCTCCATAATGGATGTGTTTAATAATACTCATCAGCCTTCTGGGAGAAGAGTTTGAAACAGCTTGACCTTTCCTCTCTCAGAGATGGACATGATCAAATATTTAAGACTAAAATTCCCCTTGACACTTGGCCGTTATGCTTAGGATGGGAATGGAATAGAAATCTTTCTCTCAACCTTGGCCACCTGGTGGTGTTGATTTTTCTCATACACTTAAGTCCAAACCAGGTGGATTTATGGCAAATTAAGTCATGCTCCCCAGGCATGGAAACAGAATCTGGCAGCAAGCCTTTTCTTTATATAGCAGAACTTACTACAGAGGGAGCATCAGTTTGATGCTACTGATATATGCCCTTTGACCTAAATGGTCCAGTGATGTTGCTGATACCTCTGTTGCCTCTTCTAGGGAGACTGGTAAGTTTGCAATGGTTGGAGGTGGAGTTAAGACAAAATGAAAGATGAAAACAAGAAAGACTCACTCAGAAGATTTTCCCACAACACCAACTCTTAATGTACCTGTTTTAGCAATTGTATTACTTGTGAAATAGCCAAAATCATGATCACACAAAGAAGCACCACACAGCTTTTTCTTCCCTAAGTTGTATAGAACTAAAATTGATTTCCACTTGAGATATTTAGATGTCCCCTGAGATTAGTGGAGCTTCAATGATACGAATTGGAAACGCAGGTCTTTCAGTGAAGGAGAGTGGTTCTTTACCACTGCAAAGTCAGTGGCTCGAGCTCAGAAGTGCATGACCATCAGCAAGTGGTATATTCTCATTCATGGCTTTGAGCTATCCTGTGATTTCCATGAGAAAATCATATCCACTCTATCATCTTTGAATATTCCTAGCATCTGTGGCATATCATGTATTTTCAAGAGTCCTCAGTGAAAGTTTTCCTTCTTCAGTACCTGATAGGACAGTGGACGCATATAGTCAGGCCGCATTCCTGGAGAACACACCTTGGGAAAGAGCCCACCACCCCTGTTTTTACTTCTTCATCCAACCCTACTTACTGCTAGTATCTTGCACAGTGGCCAGTGCCCAGTGCCCAGTGCCCCGTGCCCAGTAGGTGTTCATGGTGAATCTCTTTACAATATGGGGCCGGCAAGGTGGCTCAGTGGATAAAGGCATTTGCTCTGCAAACCCGGAGACCGGAGTTTGATCTCAGAACTCATGTAAGGAGGAAAGGGGAGAACTGATTCTGCAAAGTTGTCTTCTGACCACCAAACATGCTCTGTGGCATATGCTTATATCATTGCATTGCTCACACACTAATAGTAGTAGTAGTAGTAGTAGTAGTAGTAGTAGTAGTAGTAGTGGTAATAATAATAATAATAATAAATGAAAAATAAAAATAAAACAAAAATCCCTTTGCAACACATGTAAACACTCATGCCTTGGGACTGGAGAGATGGTTCAAGCAGTTAAGAACACTTACTGCTCCTCCAGAGGACCCAGGTTCAGTTCCCAGCACCTATGTGGGGGCTAACAAAGTCCTTACCTCTAGTTCCAAGGGATCTGATGCCTTCTTTTGCCCCCCTCAGGCACTGCATTCATGTGATGTGCTTACCTATATGCAGAAAAAAACATAAAACACGTTAAAAAACAAAACAGAAAACACTGTGCCTTAAATTTATCCTTGAAATAACAAGTCTTCACCTTATAGATGAGAGAAATATGGGAAGGAAAGAGTGCAGTGCCTGCCTAGCACCACAGAGCTCAGAGTGGCAGAGCAAGGCCTTCAGCGCACGCCTACTCCTCCAAGGCAGGGATGCTCTCTGTTTTCCCACCCCAGGAAGCAGCTGGACAAGAAACATTACATGATTCCAAAGCCGGACCTGGCCCCAAACTCGTCCCATGGGCCACTCTCTCGGATGCCCACCCCCATGTCTCTGCCAGGCTTGGCCTTTTCTTCCTGTGCTCACACAGGTGACCTGAACAGTGGGTGTGAAGACCACACGGCTGGGTTCCGTGTCTCTGTGTTTGGTTTTTCCCTCTTTATGTTCTTATTCTTAGAAAGTAGCAGCCCCCTATGTGCTTAGGCAGAAGGGATTGGTGGATGGACACTTGGTACAGATAGATGAACACAGGATGCCTTCAGATGAGTGTGACTTGGGAGATCCTTAAAAGACAGCTTTGTTTGGGCCACTTTTCTTACCTCACCCATCCATGGCTTCTTCCTTCATCTGCCTCCACCAGGGGCTGAAGCCCCTATTTCATACTATAGAGTCAAGTGCTCTTTAAGCTTCAATTGTCTGGCTTTCTTTCCCATTTTTTTTTTTTTTTATGTTGCTCTTACAAAACACTTTAGAAACCAACTTAAAGGAGGAAGGACTTATTTTGGCTCACAGTTTCAGGAAGTTCATCTATCTTGTCTCTCCTGCTTCTGGGCCCATGTGTAGTGAGGCAGAGCATCAAGGTGGGAGTGTGTTGTGGAGCAAAGTGGCTAACCTCATAGCAAGCAGGAGGCAGAGACAGAGGAGGGGCCTGGGGACAAGATCTACCTCTGGAAGACATGCCCCTAGCAACCAGCTTTCTTCTGTCAGGCCCCATCTTTCACTCTTTCTATCAATTCCCAGTAGTCTATTCAACTATGAATCCTTCCACTGATTAATTAGAAGATCAGGTCAGAGACCTCATGATTTTCCACTGTCTGACCTTTGAATAGTGCACTGGGTGCTGAGCCTTCCACATGTGAGCCTTTGGAGGGAGTTTAGATCCAAACCACCGAGCCCTGGCTCTTTTTAAAGTCTCATACATTGAATATGACTCCTATGTTTCTGCATATTAATGAATTTGTATGTTTGGCTGTTTTTCAGGTTTCCATGTTTGGCTGTCTAGTGCCAATTATTTCATAGACTTAAAGAATCAGACTTTCAGAGAACATTTAAAACTTCCTCATCCCAATCAACAAATTGGATCCTCAGGGAAGCCTTGGGTTGCATAAAGCTAAGTTGTGTATGGCTACCATGATGTCAGGACAGATACACTAGAGTATACCCCGGCTAAAACAGTGGGGCATGCAAGGCATGCAGCAAAAGGTAAGAAAGCATGATTCCGGGCCCACTAAGCAAAGCCAAGTGGCCCTTAAAGATCCATGACTGTGACCTGTGGTCTGAGTCTTGTGGGGGGTGGGGGGGTAGGAAGAGCCCAGAGACATCTTAGTTTTCAGTCTATGGTAGTTTTGTCCATGTTATCTGTGCAGTGGGCTTTCTCACATACTCTTGAATCATGGTCTTCCCTAGTACAACATCCGTAACTACCTTTTACCACAGGACACACACTCTACCTTTGCCTGACTTTCAAGGCTGACCCTCCAGAAGACAGCATCCTTTCCCTCTGTGTCTCCATCTTCCTACCGTTTCTCTATCTGATTGGTCTTCTCTCTACCGAATCTTTGCTTTAAGTTCTCCGAAGCCCAGAGCAGTATCACGGTTTAACCCTGTTTTCTGGAATGTTCTCGCAGGGTCACTTTTCTCTAATACCTCCCCACACAGTTCAAACCCAGTTCTAGATTTCACTGCTCGTATGTGTTCCCTGATTCTAGTCCTGATGAGTCTCAGTGTGACTGAGGTTAGCCCTCACCTTGGCTGAATGAGGTACTTAGCCCAGAATTATTACTGGAAGATTCTTTTGACATTTAAAGTTTATCTCTTCGTACATAACTACCAAGCAAGCACTGTGTGCACTCTATACTTTGCACATCTCCCATGTAACTCAACAATGCCAAGAGATCAGGAGCTAAGACTCAAAGCAGTTAAACACCTCCTCCAAGGTCCCACTGGAGGGGGTCAAGCTGGGGGTTCAAATCTAGAGAAGAACATGTCTCTCATCCCTTGGGGATGGCTTCTCTTGCAGGTAGGAATTTATTATTTTTCCATTCCAGGTTCTTGATGTTGCCATGGAAATCGGATTCTTCCTCGTTGCTCTTGGAACTGGAGAATGGACTGTGCCTCCTCTGTGCCAGCCACTTTGTGCCAGGAGCAGGGATTTGACAAAGGACCCCAGAAGAGCAGCCTCAGCCCTTTAGTACCCTACCCCCACCTCTGTGGCCTGTGGTCACAGCCCTTTCCTCTTGTATCGGCCTCCATAGTCCCCTCCTCCACCCACCTCCTCCAGGCCCACCATTAATGAGACTCAGAAGGAGGGGGCATAGAAACTTGAAAGAGTACTTCCTTTCTTATTTATAGGTCTCCACCGGAGGACTAGAGGCAAGGAGTGTGGTCTCTTCCCTGGAGCAAGGGGCAAAGCTCTCACAGGGGGCTGGGTCCTGGCTGGGCTCGGCCTGTGACCCCTTGTGCCTTAATCTCCCCAGCTGTACAATTAGGTAAAAGTTGGGCTACAATGAAAACCAGATGTTCCATCAGGAGAGAAGTCTCCTGGGCAAACAAATTAAATAATAAATAAATGCTTTCGGTTTTACTAGCAACTGGCCATGCTGAACCTCCTTCCAGGCTCCAATTAGAGTTCTCCCGTTGTCTTGGAGAATTTTAAAACCCGAATGTAAATAGGAAGGGGTCCTGCGAAGCCAAACATACTCACTAGTTTTGTTTTTATTTTTGTGGATTTCTGGCTTTGCTTTGGTTTCATGCAATGCTGCAAACCTGTTTGTGCAAATCCTCACGAGTTTAGTTTTACATTCTGGTTTGAGAAAGGGGGCTGGTTAACCAGGTTGCTAACGTTTTTTAGTAATTTGGGGACATTGATCCTGGAACATTCTAATGTGTGAAGTGTTCTGGGGATTATAGAGACACAGTGCGGCTTTCTCTGCCTAAAATCCAGACCAAACCCAAATCATAGGAGAGCAGCCTTGAGCTCAGACTGCAAACTGCACCGTTCCCTTGAAAATCTCTGTAATGTTTATATCTACTTCCTTGCCTTAGGTCTGCGATTGTGGCTGATCATATTTGGCTGAGTGAAGAGCGTGAAGAAACTTAGACCCATCACTTTCCTTCATCCTTTATTAGTGGACTCATTCATCCACTTACAATATTTGTTGACTGCTTGTGATGTGCCAACACTGGCCCTGGCACACAGGGAGCTAAAGTTCCTCAGTGCTAAAAATTCCAGGCGTGTGCCTTTAAGCCCAGCACTCAGGAGGCAGAGGCAGGCGGATGGATCTCTGTGAGTTTGAGGCCAGCCTGGTCTATATAGAGAGTTCCAGGCCAGCTAGGGGCTACAGGAAGACCCTGTCTCAAAAAGACCCCCCCCCAAAAAATTCTGGTTTTCTGTCCTGAAATAGCATGAGGCTCTAGCCAGTTCTATTTCACCTCTTTAAAAATTCAAGAAAATGTGTATTGGCTGACACAGGGTAGAAAAACTAGGGGATAGCATAGTGGCTGGCTACGTTTTGTCAAACGGAAGCTGAATTATGGCTCATATTTAGTGAGAACTTACTGTGATGGTTAAACTTGGTTGTCAATGTAGAGGGGCTGAAAATCACCCAGATGGTAAAGTCCATCCCTGGGTATGCCTAAGGAGGCATTTCCATACATGGTAGGTCTTGAGTTCTGACCTAAGAATGGAATAATTGATTGATGGGATAATATGATAGCGTTATTGGGAGGTGGGGCTGGGTGAAGGATGTAGGTCACTGGGGTACCCCCTGGAGGCCCCGTCTTGCCTTTGCCCCTTCCTATATTGCTTTTGTCTGCTTCCTGTGTGCTAAAAAGTGAATAGCTTGTATCGCATCTTTCCACTGCTATAAGGGTCTGCCCAAGCACATGGGTCCAAGCAACCATGGATGGAACCTTCTGAAATTGTGAACCCAGTAAGATCTTCCTGTCCTTCAGCTGTTTTTGTGGCGTGTGCTGTCACAGTGCTGGAGTGACCAATGCACTTGCTGCATGTCAAGCGTGGCACAGCATCTCTCAGGGTTACCTCGGTGCATCCTCTCTGATCTAGAGATGGGAATGCTTCTCCCGTAAGTGCTTCCATTTCAGAGAGCTTGGAAACAGGAGGAAGAGCTCACCTGTTCACCTTGGAGACAGTCAATACCAGTACCTCCTGGAAGAAGCAACCATGTACGGACTCAACACCTGACATTTTACAGAGACTGTGCTGGTATCTCTCCACTTCTGACCTCTTCTTCTCTTCACAGTATCTCTGTGAAGTCAATCCCACGATGACTTCTTACAGAAGATAACACAGAGGCTGTGAGGATGGACTTGCTGTTCTGTCACACACAAATGGTGAACATCTAAACCAGAGGACATTCTCAGGTCTCTGGTTTGAACTCTGAAAACAAGTGTCTGTGCATCCCTTCGCTCCTCTTGCCTTGGTGCCTGATCTTACCCCCGAGGGCTGTCACTTTCTCCACGGGGACAAGGCTGTTAGGACCTAGAGTGCTGCCATTTCCACTGCAAGGCCACATGGCACTGAGCGAAACCCTGGTAAACATATACACCACTTTCTTTGATGGCAGTGGAGAGGGAAGATGCAGAGACCGATGTTTGGGAGTCACCTCTACGTCTTTCCTTCTGGTGTCCTTCAGTCTGTTCCAAACTCAGAGGCAAGTCCGGGTTGAAGACATCAGAATACGGGATTTTTATATCTTTCCTTTTCGCCTTCTTTTCGTTTTTGTAGCAGATGGAAACGCCCCTAATGGACAGCAGTGATTGGCGACTGTTGGGTTTTGTTTGTTTGAGACAGCATCTTACTAGATAGCCCAGGCAGACCTTGAACTTGTGGTCCTCCTGCCTCAGCCTCCTGAGTGCTGGGATGACAGGACACATGATTACATCTGAATAGCAATGTTTTTTTTTTTCTTTTAACAAATGTGTAGTTATGCAACCACCACTTTGTCAAAACAGAGGACACCTCCACCTGCTGGGAAGCTTCCGTGCGCCCCTGTGGTCACCCTTGCATCTTCTGCCTGCAAGTGGTCAGCGTACCTCTAGCTCTCTGTCCTTCTCGTTCCTCCTTCATCCTTTTCTGAATGATGAGGTTTTTATCCTTCTAGGAAAGCTGGAAATTCCATTTACACATAGCGTGGGGTAGTTTTCTTTTTTCCTCCTTAAGTGGGTGAAAGAAAAAGGCATACAACCTGAGGTATGCAAAATGCACTGGTCTATGAAATCTAAAGAGCTATTTTTGTAAGATCAGAAACAGTTGGCTTGATTGTGAGCAGCAGAGAAAGAAAGGGAAAGGTCTTTGGAACAGGGATTCCGCATTCTGTTGACAAGATGGCAGACCCCAGGCTAACAACACGGACCCAAGACAAGATCTGAGTGCTACTGTGAAGCTCTAAGAGGGAATCGGCAGATGGCCCAATCCCACTGTGAACTCCCAGGTGACCGCAGAGCATGGCAGCCTCTCTCTGACGTCGTTCTACTTAGCTGTAAAGTGGGCTGCTTAAATTATTTCTGTGGCTTGATTTCTTCTCAGGCCAAGTTTGGATTAATTAGCACTGATTTCCCCAGAGCTACTCAAGGTCTGAACTCCAGGTTAGCATTTCCAGCCTTAAAGCAAACAGATCTAAACATCAGGCTTCTTAAAGTTCTGTCTAAAGTTTCCTTCCACCTCTTTCTGGGAAGCAATCAAAGGCTCACTTTTCTAGGAGACTGTAATTTGTTGAAAAGCATTTGATTGTTGTATTGAAAGGTTGCACTGTATGTGTAAAAAGGTGTTTATGAGGCTTCGTACAGTATAGTTAATAACCAACCAAGACCAGAGCCTTTATAACAGAGACCCTGACTGCGAGCATCTATGCTGAACCTTGCTGGGGCACACGAAATGTATAATTACAGTGGCTGGTGGTCTGGAATATAAACTAGGTGTGCTTGCTGCATGCCTGCAGGTCAGCCCTCTCTGGATAGTAGTGTTTTCTGCACCTTTCTTGGCCTCCCCAGAAATAAGTCTCCTATGCTTTCAATCCACCTTTGTAGCACCTGCAGACTCTAAACACCAGACCGTAAGGTAGGCTGAGCAAGATACAATTTCAGATGCCCGGGAAGCCCAGAACCAGGCAGCAAGCAGGAACCAAGCCAAGGTTCGTGTCTGTCTACTTGCTTAGGGGAACTCTGGGCAGAGGGGCGCACTGGCTCAGTCCGCCGCTGTTTCTCACCAGGAACTGGGCCTCCGTCTCTATAAGGTCTCCTAGCTTCTACCCTGCCCTCACTTTGAATCCATTTCTCAGACTGTGGGGAGAGCATGCTGCTGAGAACACAGATCATTACTTCTTTGGGGCTGCTGGAGGGACCACCATGGTGATCTCTTCCTCATGGTCTCCAAGGCCCTGCAACACCTTGCTTTTACTGACCCTGCCTTGCTCTGCATCCCACCACCTCTAAGTCCCCTCATGCATCTCGCTGACTTCCTTTTGTGTCCTTTCCACCTCCAGCTCTCAGGAAAATTTGAACATACACAGTTTCCTTGAGCTGGAATTATCCTTTCTGATTCCAGTCCTGCCTTAGCTCCTGCCCTGGTTTTGACCTGGTGAACTCTCCTCATCCTCAAACCTCAGGTCAAATGGTACTTCTTCTGGAAGGACTTCTCTGACCACAGGTCAAGTTCCTCTACTCAGTTTGCTTATTTTTGATTCTAAAAATCACACGTGTGGTGCACCTACTAAAGATATCTTTATTTTATTCAATGATAAACTTAGAGCTCACGTTTGCCTGCATGATGGGAGAGTTCTTACTCAACCAAGCTAGAATTCAGTGACCTTGAAACGTAGCTTTTCATTATGATATTTTACTTTGGAGTAGCAAAAAAAAAAAAAAAATAGTGCACATGATAAGCTAAGACTCAAAGAAGTAAAATATCTTCCCACAAATGTTAAAAAAGAAACTGTAGCAAAACTCAGCAATGGAGACATGGTCTAGTGGGTGAAGCCCTGTCTGCAAAAGCATAAGGGCTCGAGTTTGGACTTCTAGAATCCTTAGAAGGCCGAATTCCATCGTAACCACCTATGAACCCAGCTTTCTAAATGGTAGAGTTCTATACAACTTATAGTTACACCCATTACCACATTTACTTCTCCAGCCTCTGGGAAGTGGGAAGACGTCTTTCCACTTAAGAGGTGATTTGACTGGCTCAAAGTCTCTTCATCCTTGAAGTTGGTTTTCTCACGTTAGCACACGCCAGTCAGACTGCTTTGTTGTTTTCCCAGTTATTCTGAGTGTGGATAAACTATTAGGATTCAATCTGTCTCTGGTGGATGAAAATTTATGCTGACTCAACTTTTTCAGTATTCTAATTCTTTAATAAAAATTCTCCATGGTACATTTTTGAGTAAACCATTCTAATTTTTGTAAAATAAGCTCTTGGAAATGGACATGGAAGCCGGGGATGTGGCTCAGTGGTAGCATGCTTACCTAGTACATGCAAGGCTCCAGGTCTGATTTCTTAGCACTGTAGAAATTAA